AAGAGTATGAGAGAAGGTGACAAGAAGAGTATGTTAGAAAACTCCAAATGACACCAAATGCAAATTTGAACAACTTAAACAGTTAAATTATTTAGGCCGTTTGACATCAGGGAAGATATTAACAAGCTGATCAAATTGTAATTTCCCTTTCACCTGTTAAATAAATACGTGCTCTCTTCAAACTTGAACTAACTTTTTCAACTATTTGGAGGTTTCCAGATTTGCATTTCCGCATGGTGAACTCCGCCTATAACTAAGTCCAAGTATGCAGCTATACAGGAACTACTTTTATGTATTTGTGATAACGTTTTCAATGGCGAATGGTTCAAACGGTATGTAAAATATGCAAGAATATTACTTCCTCAACAAGTGCTTACAAGTTGCAATATTCTCTTTTTTTATTGTAGTTTGTCATTTTAGCTGTCTCTTTTTCTTCCCTCAAGTTCAATAAACAAAAGTCATTGATGTGCGTGAAAAAAATCTTAGCCGCGGTACCGAGATAGGACTTGCCTATGCCAAGTTCAAGGCTCACAAGTTTTCCTATCTAAATATCACCCGCATTGGCTCAGATTATGTTATGGATGGCAATGAGTGTGGATTGGCTTGTGTCAACATACCTTCCTGCTTCTCTGAACCTGGCTGCATTTCATGATATTGTTGACACATTGCTGTGTGAATTACTTCTATCAGACATGTACAACAACTCAGACAAGTTTGTCGCAAGTCAGAGTCACCACCACTTTGGCATCGCAGTAAGCTCCAAACCGCCGTCATCTTAGCTCGCATGACACCAAGACAGTCTTTACGTACACATTTGAAACTAATGGAAACTGGAATTAAAAAAAGTGAATCAGATTAAGTTAAACCCGGAAAAAAGCTAAAAAAATGGTTGAAAAATGATGAAGAAAGATAGGGGAAAAAGCACCTTGATCTATTCTTAATTGTTTATATTTCTTGGTGGAAGTTTCGTTTTTAACCCCAACTCGATGCACGTGACCAAATAAGTAAGGATTAAAGATTGTTCGAAGCTGAGTGTAGTGGCCCCTTTCTTCCTCTTTAGCCCTCAGTTGTCAGTGTCATCATAAAAAATAAAGCATTGCAGTTAGATACCATTAGTAGGCGTAGGAGAGAAGGTTATAACAAGGGTGTGTTAGAAAGCTTCGAAGGACACGAAATGCAAATATGACAAAACGAAATATTAAAGTTATTTAGGCCGTTTGACGTCGAGGAAAATATTAACAAACTAATCAAATTACAGCTTCCCTTTCACCTGTTAGATAAATACATGCTCTCTTTCACGGTTCTTCAACAATTTTCAAAACTATTAAGTGGTTTCCAATTTACCGAAAAGGACATCAGTTGTTCCACTAATAGAAAATCAATGGATGTCACTNNNNGTGTAATGATAGGTTATTGCTAACAAGTGCTTACGAGTTAAGATATTTTTTTCGGAATTGTAGTTTGTTATTTTAATATTTTTTTTTCTCTCTTCAATTTCAACAAACAAAAGTTCTCGATGTGAGTGGAAAGACTTTCAGCCGCGGTACCGATAGAGGACTGGCCTATGCCAACTTCAAGGCTCACAAGTTTTCGTACCTGAACATCACCAGCATTGCTTCAGATTATGTTATGGAAGCCATTGAGTGTGGACTTGCTTGTGTCAACATACCTTCATGTTTCTCTTTCAACTTAGCTGCATTTCAAGACATCGTCGGAAAAATACTGTGTGATTTACTTCCATCGGACATGTACAACAACTCAGACAAGCTTGTCGCCCGTCGGAGTCACCACCACTTTAGTATCATGGTAAGTTCAAAATCGCAGTATTCAAAAGAACATTTTTAGAAAGTAAGATTGCCTTTGGATAGGATAAATTTTCTATGCACAGCCTTTTAAGAGACTTTTACTATAAAAGAGAGGGAATTTTCCTGTCAATATTAGAGTCTTGACTTAGGCGACCAATTTTGGACCACTGTAACATTTGGAACTTTTATGTCCATGTGCCTCAAATACTTTTCAAATCGTGTTCGAGTAGTGTTAAAAAGGTGATGCAAGAACTCTATTATCAAGAAAGTTTTTCCGATTGTTCTTAGTTAAGTAGAAACAAAGAGAAAAAGCGCGGAAAATTCGTTTTTGGTTCAGTGTTGAGAACAATGTTAGAAATACAGTATCACTGGATAGGAATTGTTCTCCTCCCAGAAAATTTTTATTAATTGTTTTTCTTCTTTTCTGTGCCGTGGCCGCTAATGAAAAAAAAACAAAACAAAACAAAAACCAAACAAATATTTGTGATTCGTTTTTTTTTTGGTCAACTTTGTTAATCCCCTTTCACTCCCATTCTATGCATCTGTGGCTTTCATTGCACCGATGCTTTATCCTTTACCCGTTTAGTCTCCATGTATCAGTTGGCCGTGTCAGAACGATGGGACGTGCGCTGCCCAGTACGAGAAGAACAGCTATGTGTGGGTTTGCGGGAAAGGATACACAGGGAAACATTGCGAAATGGGTAAGAAATCGTAAACTTTATCGGCTAAGAACGAGAATTTTGCTTAAATTGTGCATAGCACTATGTTTCTCGTCTTCCAATTATGGCTGTCAAACAATTTAACTGAAGGACAATTGAAAAGTTTGTTAGCAAGTGAATGATGGAAGAGTCACAACGCTCGGAAATTTCAGTTTTCTTTTCTTTTACCCCCACTAGAGTAAATTATCAGATCCACAATTGCTGACGATTTATCTCTTGGTCCATGATTTGTATATTTTGCCCACTGGTGCTATTTGGTGTTAAATATAATTTAAACGTCAAATTAAACTTTTTTATTTTTCTCTCTAAGTTTTGTAAAGTTAGACAAAATTGTGTTTTTCTCTTTTTTTTATTTCGAGATATTGATGAATGTGCCGAAGACTCCACCGGTTCAGAATTTTCGTCTCATCTTGTTTACGACGAAAGCACCTCTTTTGAATGTTTTCAAGTGGTCCTAAAATCTTTGAATACATATCAGCAATATCCATCTGGAAACTTAAATTTTTCCCAATAAAAATTATTTCTTCGTGGTCTGATTTAACGAGACTTCAGCGAGGAATACTCGAATATGACGGACATAGCAACGATTTCCAACCATATTCTCAATTGCTCAGTTGAAAATGCTAAACTACATCTGGGTGACCAATTAAAGATACCTATTTGGAACTGTTAAACATTTAACTATTTGGTGAAAAATAAGTCAGTCTTAATTTTCACTCATCAATTAGAGGAAGGCATTAAAGACATAGTTACTTATTTGATTTTATAACAGCTCTGACTGCTTCCAGCATTCTCAGCGGCCGTGACCTAGACAAGTACCTAGGAGTACTGACATCTTATCTAAGCCCAGTTCTCATGAATTCAAGCCGCAGCGTATTTGTGAGATGCTGGCATGCCAAGACAGACGGATGGGCTGCAGCGACATTTCACAAGAACTGTGATGGAAAAGGACCCACAGTGACACTCATCCTGGTCAACTCTTACATATTTGGAGGATATACCAATGTGCCATGGAACGGTAAGGCTCGAGAGGAAACTTTAAAATTTGTTCCTACGAACGACCAGTGGTTTGCTTCCCGAATGACCGTTAGTTGTGGCTAGAGAGAAATTTTAACCTGCAAGGTTAAATAACCAAAGACGTTTCAAACACCCTTCATTTTTAGATTTACTGTTGTTACCATTTCATTTTCCATCTATGCACAGCTATTATTTCTGATCGGTTTCCATTAGCGAGCGATGGTATACAATTCCAATACTACCATTTCTATCATTTTGTATTCAAGTCCTAATAATGGGCTCTCAAAAATTTTCAGTTACCTCGCATCACTTTTGATAAATTCAGCATGTATTCTTTAGCTACAGGCAACCGATGCCGTCACGTTCCAGCTGATAAAGCCTTTATCTTCTCACTCAACAACAGTAGAGACGCCCACGTGAAACTCTATCAATATGGTGATTCCACCCCCGCCATGTATGACTGTTTTAGATATGGACCCTCGTTTGGTGGAGGGGATATCTATGTAACGAGTGACGCTGTCAACAAGAGTGACTCATACACCCACTGTGGACACACGTACACCGCTCCCCCCGGATATTCACGCCATACCAATTGCCCATTTTTCGCTGGTAGTTTTCGGTTTTCTCCTACCAACATCGAAGTATTCTACGAACAGTTGATTTAAAGACATTGACATCTTTTTTATCTTCAGGAAGCTAAGCATAGGGATAGTTTCCTTGTGCATGCATTGAAAGATTTTTAAGAAGGCTGACAGTGCGTCCTTAGCATTAGAGTATTTTGTTTGTTGTCAAATCATACATGGAAAATCTGCATTTCCATCATAAATGACTTTAAAACTCGGTCGACTTGATGTAATGAGGATTTTTCAAGCCATGATATTTCCCTCCTTCAGGTTTTAGCGTTCATGTTTTAGTAAGGAAAATTAAAAGATGAAAGGAACCAGGCATCAGTTGATAGCAGAAATCTCAAGCCAGACCTCTATAAAAACGAATGAAAAAATACTTAATTTATCGCACTGTTCTTACGTACCGTCTGATTAAAAAACAGTCAATTCCATTTTACTCGCAAATGGAAATCATTGGTTCAGATTATGTTATGAAAGGAAGCGAGTGTGGACTGGCTTGTGTTAACATACCCTCATGCTTCTCCTATAACCTCGCCGCATTTCATGATGTTGTTGATAAATTGCTGTGTGAATTACTTCCATCTGACATGTACAACAACTCGGACAACTCAAAGTAAGTTTGAAATCTTAGTATTCTAAACAGCAGTTTCAGTAGCAAATGAATTCGAGTTGAGATAAGATAAATTTTCAATGCACAAATTCTTGAGACGCGTGCCATTGGCGAGAGGCGCTTTTTCCGCCTTGTCCTCATTACAAAATCCATGCATTGAAAAACCTAACGTGGACCACCATAACTATTAGAAGCTATTAGACCGCATCGAAAACCTTACACGCCATGAATAACTTTTAGAAGCTATTAGACCGCATGGGACCCCCTATAATAACTATTACCATAGATTGAATACCCCGTGGATAACTATTAAGCTTATTAACTTTAATCCCAACATCTTGACAAAAAAATTTGAATGTATCAACAAAGTTGAAATGGTAAATTGGCCACCGTTACGGTTATAAAAGCTGACGTTTCGAGCGTTAGCCCTTCGTCGGAGCGAATAGAGGAATTGTGGGTTGTGTGCGCTTTTAAAGACAGAAAACGGAGCTACGTGATTGGTTAGAACATGGCAACGAGAAAAACACGAATAGATTAGTGGAATGAAAAGCGTTCGTTGATACCTGTGGGATTTAGACTGCCGGTTTGAAAGATGAGCTTTTGTTCAAGAGTTTTGCGGCTTTCCGTGCTACTTAAGTGTAAGGAAAGACCGCAGATTGCCATATGTTGCTTAGAATGATT